TGTCCCCAGCACGGCGTCCCTGGACACCCTGTGCCCTTTCCTTGTTATAGGGGCGTCAAAGGAAGCGACACGTTTCTCTTCTCACAGCCACCCCGCGACACACCATCGCGTCCCAGGCACCCGAGTTTGCATGTTTTGTTTGTTCCTGAGCAGAGCAGAGATGTCAGTGGGGAAGCAATGCTTTCCAGGCCCTGCCAGGACGACCCCCAGGCAGGCTCACTGGCTGAGCCCCCTCCTCCCCAGCTGAGCGATGGAGCCCAGACGTCTGGGCAGTGGGGGTGGGGTTATCACGGAGCCGAGACCGCTGTCCAGGATGATTCAGGGCCCCAGGAAGGAGAGTCAAATGCTCTTGACCCAAGAACACGCACTGATGCCAAATGCAACGGCTGGGCCAAGGCCAACAGGAAATATCCATTATGTGAGCGCAGTCAGAGTCTGCTCCCTGCCAGGAGGTGGGCCCGAGGCCACGGGGGTGTCAGAGGGCCCTGCCAGCTGCCCCCACCCCAGAGGGCACCGAGGTGGAAGGCCCTACCGTCCAGTGTCCATATCATCTCGTCAGGGTCTCAACCTTCTGGTGCTTTGATACTGGCGACGATGACCTCGGCAGCCGCCGTGTGTGGGTCGCCTGGTTCACAGCAGGCCCCGTGCTAAGCAATTATTTTTAATTGGGCGCATATGACATTAAGGGCCCAGGCCTCAAGTGGAGAGCTCCATCGGCTCGCACATGTGTTTACATCTGTGTGACCACCACGTGCGCCAATCCACGGAACACCCTTCCACCCGTGAGGCTCCGTCAGGCCTCTTCCCGGGCTGACACCCTCCCAAAGCTGACCACTCTCCGACTCCCATCACCATTCGCTAGTTCTGCCTCTTTCTGAACTTCACGTGAGGGGAGCCACATAGAGCGTGTTCTTGTGTCTGGCTTCCTTCGCTCAGCATCACGTTGGTGAGCCCACCGTGCTATTGTGGGCAGCGCTCCCTCCCTCCCTTTGCTCTGTATGAGGTCATCTGTCCTCCCGCTCCCACTGCCGCTGGGCACCGGGGCGTCGTGAACGAAGCTGCTATGCACACTGTGTGCAAGCCTTCCTGGACATTTGTTTTCATTTCTCCTGGGCAATTATCTAGGGTCAGAGTCGCTGGAATATAGGGTAAGTATATGCTTGACTTTATAAGAAATCGACAAACTATTTTCCAAAGTGGCTGTGCCCTTTTGCACTCCCATCCTTTCCACACTCGCCATTGTCTGTCCTTTCATTGGGGTCACCCTAGTGCAGCGGTTCTCAACCTGTGGGTCGTGACCCCTTTGGGGGTCGAACGACCCTTTCACAGGGGTCGCCTAAGACCATCGGAAAACACATAGATAATTACATATTGTTTTTGTGATCAATCACTATGCTTTAATTATGTTCAATTTGTAACAATGAAAATACATCCTGTGTATCAGATGACGACTCATAACAGTAGCAAGATTACAGTTATGAAGTAGCAACGAAAATAATTTTATGGTTGGGGGTCACCACAACATGAGGAACTGTATTAAAGGGTCGCGGCATTAGGAAGGTTGAGAACCACTGCCCTAGTGGATGGAAAGCGTACATCCCTGCCTCACCTATTTCTTATGAAAACTCTTTGGAAATGGACACACTGTTAGTGGCTACACATGCCTATAAGTTCTTTATGTCCTTCCAGGACGAGGGGGGTCTACCAATGTGTCCTCTCCCAGTGGATCTGGGTCACTTATGTGACTGATTTGACAAAAAACAAAAATATGATGAACATGCCCCGTGTTGATTTCCATATGCAAGCCTCCGGAGCCTGGCACCTTCTGCTTCCAGGCTGCTGGCTTGCTCTGGGGGCCACACCGCCATGCCGCCAGGCAGCCCAGGCTCAACACGTGGGAGGCTGCACAAAGGACCAGCATGCCTGCCAGGCCCCAGCTCCCCCCCTCCGCTCCCATTCCAGACATGGACAAGTGCAAGAAGAGCCACCGTGGACAGCCCCAGGCAGCAGGCGCCATGGGGCTCACACAAGCCGCCCTTCTGTGCCCTGCCTTGGCCCACATCATCCATGGGCTGCTGTTTTCCAGCCCCGAGTCCTGGGGTTGCTGGATGTAGCCGTAGGTCGTCGGGACCACTCTCTCCATTTCACAGAGGAGAAAATAAAGGCACAGAGAGGTGACGTCCTGTGCCCAAGGCCCCACAGCGGGGAGACTCAGAGCTTGCATGGCACTATTTCTAAGGTCAAACAAACAGGCCACAGGCACAGGGTGGTGAATCCCAGTCACAGAGAGCGATCGGGGACAGGCCGGCAGAGGAGCTAATGCGCCAGACAGGAGGCCGGGCTCATTGCTAACAGCCAGATTCTATCAGAAATGAAGCCGCTTCTCTCTGAACTGTGTACCAGGGAGCCTGGCTTCTCCCAGACCTCTAACTTGATCAGTGTTTCCAAAAGCCAAGGCAGGAACCCAGACCGTGGTCCATGGTGTGACATCACCTGCCCCCAGAGGTCCCCACGCATGCCTAGCTTAGATCAAGAGAGCTGAGCCAGGGCTGACAGCGAGACACCTCTCCCTGTGCCGTGGAGCTCACAACACCTGGAGGCAGACGCACCAGGTAAGCTAAGCCTCCGCTGTTGGGGCCCAGAGGACCCCCCGATCTAAACAACATCAGCACAGAGCATCAGCGAAAGCACTGCAAACTCAAAACGCCTACAGGGGCCACAAGAGTGCGTACTAGGCACGTTCTACCAGTGCAGACATGCTCATTGCCTGTAAGCACGCTGAAATCGTTTTCATGTCCACAGAAGTACACCCTCTCCCATTTCTTGAAACAGGGGCCTCTTGGTCGGGTTGTATTTGCCCGCTTCAGTAGGGCCCAGAGTACAGAGAAACGTTCCTACCTCAAACACACAGCAGAGGATGGGTGTCCAGCATGTGGCCGTGGAGCCAGGGAAGCTCCCACGGGGGCAGGGGACAGTGGCCAGGCCACGGGGGCAGCCACTGTGCAGCTCCAGCTGATGCTGGCTGGGTGGGAACCAGCACCCATCGGGGGCCAGATCTCTGCTTTTCTAAGAAGCCAGGAATCCAGATGTGGGGCATGACATTCTATAAATGACAGCAGCGACTTCCTTCCCCCCAAACATCCAGCATATCTGCAGGCAGGACCGGCCTGTGCGTCACCTGTGTGCAACCTCAGTATTAAATCTTTGCAGGGATGCAGCTCCAGACGCGGAGCTCAGAGAGGACCTTCTCAATGCAGCCTGTGGCCTGGGGCCTCCTGGTCACCTAACCACAACTTCCCCCATTAGCCTTGGCAGTGTTCAAGGCAGGCGAGGCCTGTCCACACTGACTCCCAGCCCCAGCTGTCCCGGACCCACAGGGGGCTCCCTTCACAGGGGGATGGGCTAGGACTTGTCAGCAGCCATGTCCCTGGGTCCCGTCCACGCCATCTTCCACATCCGCCCCTCGCCGTGGGCCCTCACTGTCCACGCTGCGCCTGGCGTGCCTGCCTGGCCCTCGCTCTCCTTAGCAGTTGAATTCTTTCTGTTGCGTCTTCAACCCCCCAATTAATCACCATGTCTTCTACGAAGCCTTCCCAATTTCCCAGGCAGAATTTAATGCTTCTGCTCCTTTTTTTTTTTTTTTTTTTAAGGAAACCAAGTCTTAGGATACGTGTCCGTTCCTTCTGGACCCGCTTTCTCTTTTCAAAACCTCTGCAGCCTACCTCTGCCCCTGAGCACACGGCGATGACAGCATTTCCATCATGATCGACAGCGACTGGAGCACACAGCGCCCTCCCAGCAGCCTGGGCTCCCCCAGCGGACCGGGCTCAGGGACAGTGCAGGGACCCTGCACCCTCGGACCCACACAGGGCCCGGCCGGAGAAGGCGTCCGTATTTGGGGAGGAAGAAAGGACTGACTGAGAGGCCATGTGAAGTCTGATTACCCAGCTCCCACCTGAGCCACCACCTGAACTGAAATATCGGCTCAAGAGAGACACACACAGGTCCTTGTGGGACCGTCTGTCTGTTCACTGCCATGTCCAGGGGGGCACAGGGAGGTCTGGAGAATGAATGGGCTGACACGGTGCCCATCACATTGGACTGCTTCTCAGGGAGATGAGGTTACACAGGAGACACACTTCATGGAGTGCCTGGCACAAAGCAGATGTGCAGTAAACATCTGGGGCTGCTGTACTGCGACCCCTGGGCTCCCAGACTCCGCTGCAGCCCTGGCTTCCCAGGCACAGTCTACACCACAGCCGGCTGGGCTCCGGCTCCCGGGACAGGCAGGGCCAGGCCAGCATGGGGCTCTGCCCTCCCGGCTCCCAGGCAGACGCCTCCATCTCTGGTTGCCGGTTTGCCTTTAATAAGCTTGGGAATTTCCAGAAGGGTCTATCACGGCTCCTTGGGGCCTCATGCCTGGGGCAGCAAGCCTGGGGACACCAGGCTCTAGAGGAGATTTCCAGAGAATCGGGAGTGGAGATCTTGTCTTCTGGGCCTCAGGCACCATCTTCCATGTTCTTCCCCACCCAACTGAGGGGTTTCTGACCCAAAAAACCAGGGTAGGAGGCAAAGGCGGAGGCAAGAGGGTTCGGGAAGGAGGCCACGCCCAGGCCCAGCCCTGCCAGGCCTCGCAGGCCTGAGGCGCTTCCTGGTGACCCCACATCTGCCGGGGAGCTGCAGAGCAAGGAAGTTAAATATAGTCTCCGCATCCCGCAGGGCTCGCGTCGGCGCCGAGAGTGCCACCTGGTGGCCCGCTCCCGCTCCTCTGAGGAATCAACCCTCGGGGAGGACGCAGCAAGATGGCCGGCCGGCCGGCCGGGAAGCCTGGGTGTGGAGGGGGAGAGCAAGCGAGCGTGCCTGGGGTTTTCCGCTCACCGCTGGCCCAGGCCCCACTCCTGCTGGTTGCTAAATCTCCACCCAAATGGCTTCCCCAGAAAACTCAGGCAGGGCCTGGCGTGTGGCCTGCGGAAACCACGGCTCCGGCCGGCGGCACTCACCATGTCGGCCAGGCTGCAGAACTCCTCCAGCCGCAGGAGCATCCCCTCGATGGTCTCCTCCACCTCCTTCGCCTGGAAGACAGCATCCCGGGGGTTAGCAAATGGTTTCCAGGGAGACAAGTGCCCTTCATTTTTAAGAAGAGCAAAAACTACATGTTAGACTCAGTCATCTGCCCAATTCCCTCTAGAACAGTAGTTCTCAACCTTGGCTGCACATTAGAATCACCTGGGAATCTTCTTAAAATCCTGATTTCTGGCCCTCATCCTCTGGAAATTCTGTTTCTTTGTTACTCATGTTGTGACCCTGCCCCTACACAAAGAAACAGAATTTCCGGAGGATGAGGCCCGGAAATCAGGATTTTAACAAGATTCCCAGGTGATTGTAATGTGCAGCCACGGTTGAGAACCACTGCTCTAGACCTACTTTTCCTTTGCAAAACCTCTCCTAGCCTCATTTGAAACAAGGATAATCTGGTGGCATTCATGATGCTTGAGGACTGGGCAAAGCCACCGTGGGCCATCCACTCTATGCAGCTTTCAAAAGACATGAAATAAATACCAACAGGAAGTAACAACAGTACCCTTAAGATCCCCGTTGTTCCGGCGAGGAAACTGAGGCCCAGAGAGGTGAGGACACCTGCTCAGGGACACACAGCTAGCCAGTGGCAGGGCCGGGATTCCCATGTAGGTTTGAGCCCACAGCCTCAAAGCTGCTCTAATAAACCCTGCGACACGCCTGCGGAGAGGAAGCGTGAGCCGCAGGCGATGAAGACTACACGCCGCGTCTGTGACGACACCACGACGTGTGTGTGAACAGACACAGGCCGCAGTGATACCTACCAACTGCGAATAGCCGGGGACGGACTCTCACTACAATATTATTCACTGTCTGCAGTTCAGCTTTACCTGGGCGCCCTATTGTTTCTTTGGAAACCCTGTCATCCGCCCAGAAGAGCAGGGACTGGGGAGAGTGAAGAGGGAGACCAGAAAGGTTTTACTAATTTGAAGGGTCCCAGCTCCAGGTACCAGGTACCAGGGCCAGGCAGTGACGTGACCGTGACCGAGTGACACGCCCCTGGGCCCCGGGCTGATCTCGAAGGTGCCAGACCCCTTTCATTTTCCAAGAGAGGCCAGAAGTTCTCACTTCATGAGAAATGTCCCAATTTTTAAATAGTGGCACAAATTCAAAAAAAAGATACATTTTTTTCTAACGCTCCACGGGCCAAGCTCAACAGGAATGTGAATGGGTCGTCGGCCAGTGTATAAGCCCTGCTCTCATCACTTGTGCAGAAATTAGTTTGACCCTTTCCCCTCAGGTATGTGCAACTCTCAAGGCTTATAAAATATGTGAGGTTTTTGTGTGTATTTTTTTTTTTTTTTAAATTTCCAGGCATCTAGGAAGACACTTCTAGACCCTGAACCTCTTTCTCTGGCTCACCAGGCCAATCACGCTGCTCCGGGAGGCGACAGCAGATATCTCTGGGCAGGCCTGGGACCGCCCCCCACACCCGAAGGCTCCTCACCACCCACGTGCCCGGGAACTGCTTGGGACCAGAGCCGGCTGCTTGCAGCGCGAGCTGTCGCCGCCACCACAAAGTAAACGACTGCAAAAAGCCCTCCTTCCGGCTGGAGTATAAATAGTGCCCGCTGCAATTTTAAACTCTGGAGCCTTCCTCTCACAGCTGGGACTATTTCTGTGCCTGCACGGGGGAGGCTGACAGGGAGGGCGGCCTCATGGAGGGAGGCTGGGAGACACACAGGAAGTTCTCCCCGGAAGTGAAATTCAAGGTAAAATGCCTTGAAGGTGCTAAGGGAGGAAGAAGGTTGGCTGTTCCTCCTGATGCAGAGAAGAGGAAGAGGTGGGAGCGGGCACAGAGGGGCACAGAGGGGTGCTGAGACCCCCCCCGCAGAGCAGACCCGCCCCAGCTGGACCGCTGCCTCCTTCCCAATGAGCCTGAAGCCCTGCTCAGAGGAAGCGCATCTCAACCTGTGCCGGTAGGTGCAGAAGGAAGTTAGTCGGTCCTGGGTTCAAATCCCATCTTCTCTTTTGCCAGCCGTGCGACCTTGATCCAAGGGTTTGACTTCTGCATTTTGGTTGGCTCCCCTGTGCCAGGAGCCTCGGCTGGGCAGGGCTGGTAGGAGGCTCACCTGACAGTAAAGGTGGCTGAATTTAACAGAGAGCCCGCACACAGTAGGTGTCTAAGTGGCTGCTTTCTGTCTCTCTCTCTCACTGGATTGCAAAAGCAAGGGCTAATCACCATAAGCGGATCATCTCCTTTGAGCCTCAGGAGAACTCGATACAGCAGGTGCTGGAATTCCCCCCTTTTCTGGACTGAGAAACAAAGGACCAGAAAGCTTAAGTCACTTGCTCACGGTCACACAGCTCGTAAGTGTGGAAGCCAGTTTTGACCCCCAAGCACTGACTCCAGGGCTGACGTCTAGCCACCAGGAGGCTCCTGGGGGAGAGGGAAATGGGTCCCCTTATTGCTACCTGTCAGCTATCGTCTCCCGCCCACCTCCTGGCGCTTAGGGCGGTGCCCCAAAGCAGGAGGCAGCCCAGAAAGCGTTTGCTGACTGTCTGGTGGGCTAAGGGAGGAACAAGCCCCAAGACGTTCCCAACCCACAGGAAGGAGCTCAGAATTAGCATCCCACAGGCCCACAAATCATTCCCGTGACCATTTTCTCTCCAGATAATCCCCTAAGTGGCCTCAGAACCAGAGTCCTGCAGGCTGCAGCCCACACACCCTTTGAAGCGGCCCATAATCAGGATGAATGCCCTCGCCCTCCTTTGTAGCTCCCCGGGCACACATTGTCCTGCTCCGAGGGGAAGGACGCAAATGGCTCCCTTTAAGTAACATTCAGGGCACGGCCGGTGGACACTTATTTTAACATGTGTGAAGCATAGCATTTGCTTTCTTCTTCCACACCCCCCTCCTCCCAAAGTGCCAATCGAAACTTCCCAGCTGGGTTGGCAACAACACACACACACACACGAAAAGGGGCTGGCTCCTGCCTACCAAGTGACTGGCATAAAAAAGAACAACAACAACAACAACACACACACACACACACACACACACACGAAGACCCTCCACCTACAAATGGAAACGCCACTCTCCAGTTGCTCAGATAACTGGGGGCATCCTTGACTCATCTTCCTTTCTCTCCCCTCATCCCATCCAATCTATACACACATCCTGTCGGTTCTTCCTTAAAAAAATGTATCCCAAATCCGACCTCTTCTCCCCATCTCCCTCGCCACCACCCTGGCACAAGGTACTGTCCTCTCTTGCTGGGACTAGTGCAGTAGTCTGCTCACTGGTCCGCTGCTTCCTCTCTTGCTCCCCTCCAATCTACTCCCCTGAAAGATCCTGTTAAACCCAAAGTCTCCTCAGCTCAGAATCTTCCACCTGCCCTTTCGCAGCTGCTAGCATGGCTACAACCCCAAAATGGAAAGCAGTACCTGTTGGCGAGGATGTGGAGCACTTGGGACCCTCCTCAGACCCTGCTGGCGGGGTCGCGAATTTGTGCAGCAGCGTTGGAAACCAGTCTGGCAGTTCCTCAAAAGGTTAAACATAGAGGTGCCCTATGATCCAGCAATACATCCCAAGGGATATCCAAACACCCCAAAACATAGGCTGTTACGAAAACACGGGCACTGTTCTTAACAGCCAAAAAGTGGAAACAACTCACGTCCATCAACTGATGGATGGACAAAGAAAACGTGTTCCAGCCACACGGTGGAACAGTATTCAGCCGCAGAAAGGAGCGAGGTCCTGCTACACGCCACAACATGGACGAGCCTGGAAAATACGCCGCATGAAAGCAGCCGGACACAAAAGCCACTGGTACAGGATTCCTTTGATGTGAATGTCCGGAGGGGCAAATCCACAGGCAGGAAGTATATTGCTGGTTGTCTCCCCCAAGGGATGTGAGGAAGGGGAAACAGGGAATGGTTATGGGGTTTCCTTCGGGTGATGGAAATGTTCTGGAATTAGGTGATGTTTGTACAACATAGTGAATATACCAAAGAACACTGAGTTACATACTTTAAATGGTCAGGTTTATGTTGTTTGAATTTTATCTTAATTAAAAAAAAATCCTCTCCTCTTTTCCACCTCACTCAGTAATGTCAAATAGAACTCCCTTTCCCTGTACCACCTGGACCCCCTCCCCTCCTCTCCAACCTCATCACCTGCTGCACCCTCCCCCCCACACAACCACACCAGCCATGCATGTCCTCACCCCAGGGCCTTTGCACCTGATGTTCCCTTCACTGGTGAAGCTCATCCCATGCTTCCTTTGCTCAAATGTCTCTCTTCGATGAGAACTCCTCTGACCTCGCAACTCGCCTACCATTCCCTGTCCTGCCCCAGTTTATGTCTCTTTACTTTTACCACCAAACTATATATTTTACTTGTTTCTTTCATTTTCCTCCATTGGAATAAAAGCTCCTGGAGGGGAGGGGTGTTAGTCTATTTGATTCCCCTTTGTATTCCCAGGGCCTAGAACAGTGATGGTGAACCTATGACATGCGTGTCAGAGGTGACACGTGAACTCATTTTTTTGGTGGATTTTTCTTTGTTAAATGGCATTTAAATATATAAAATGAATATCAAAAATATACATCTTTGTTTTACTATGGTTGCAAATATCAAAAAATTTCTATATGTGACACGGCACCAGAGTTAAGTTAGGGTTTTTCAAAATGCTGACACGCCGAGCTCAAAAGGTTCGCCATCACTGGCCTAGAACAACTCCTGGCACATAGTAGGTGCTTGTGCTTCCAAAGCTGGTCCTCCACCTCGCTCCATCCCACATACTTTTGTGCAATATGACTTTGCCCATGAAGCGGTGGGATCCATTCTTCCCACCCCTGAATCTGGCCGGGCCTATGACTTGCTTTGACCAATAGAATGTGCTAGAAGCAGTGGTCTGTGACTCAAGAGACTGCAGCATCTGAGTCACTCTCTTTGAAGACAGCAGGAGTTGTTGCGAAGAGGCCCAGACAACTCTGCTGGGGAGGCCACGTGGACAGGGGCTGAGATGCCCGACGTATGAGTGGTGCTGACCTTCCGATGTGGCCAGGCCTCCAGCCAGAGGAAGCCCCGCAGGTAGGCTCAGCCGACACCATGGGAGCAGAACCACTGGAATGAGCCCATCAGCCAGCAAACCATGCACCATAAGTGGTCGCTGCTTTCAGCTACTGAGGTTTGGGGTAGTTTGCTACCTGACAATTGATCACTAATGCAGTGCTCAATGGATATTCGCTGCAGGAAAGGAAGGAAAGAGGGA